GTTTAACACATTAACAAAGTACTAAAATACTGTAATGAAACTAAAACTAAAATAAAAACCGAAACTGAAACTAAAAACCACTGAAAATATTAAAACTAAACTTAAACTAACATTCACAGAGTGAAAAGGAAACCAAAATAAAGAAATAAAATAAAAACTAAACTATAATAAGTAACCCTGCTGATAAGAAAAGGAAGAGGTTATGAAAGCAGACCTAGACCTCACCTGCGGCCGTCGTCTTGAGGCACCATGGCCCGCCGCTGGTTGACCCACTGCTGCAGCTGCGTCATGGAGGTCTTCCTCTGGGCGAGTCTCTCCGGTGCCGTCCTGGGCACAAAGCCTCTCCGCATCACCACATTCTCCTCAAGCGGCTCGCGCATGTCCCTCACATTCTCTTGGGACTGGTATCTTGAACCGTTGGGAGGACCATAGCTACCCCAGCCGTTGGGGTGATGGGGTGCCAGGACTCCTTTCTCCCCCATCCTGCCCCCTATATTAGGGGTAACTGGGGTCACTGGAGTGCTGGGCGTGGTGCCTCTGGTTTCTACACCGTTAAGCTCGTGTTTGACAGGCTCGTGGACATCTGGCCTCTGGCCGTTCTCTGCATGAGAGTTGGGCTCGAGACGTTTGGCTACCATGTCGTTTTCATCTGCTGCAGGGACGGGATCAGATTTATTTCTGCAGAACAGCAGGAAAGAGACAGACAAAACATATATAAAACACTATCATAAACAGTGCAATGCCTTTGATCTGTTTGATGAAATGTTTTTTATAAGGAGAGCACAGGACTGTTTGTTCCAGAGTATCAGGGTAGCAGCCTTAATGGTATGCGCCTGTGTTCCATCTGTGCTATTTTAGTTGTTGCTCTGCATAAATTTTCATCAGATCTGTCTTTGGCTGTTTGAAATATGCTGCTCTGACTCCACAAGTATCACACGTTTAAGATGTTGTCCAAAACCATGACATTTTTTTTCTACTGTAAAACACAAAAGTGGAATTTCTGAAGAACTACTATTTGTACTGAATGAAGGTCCATAAAAGCATTAAAAGAATTTCAAGGAAGTAGTCATTATGACTCATTTGCCACCTTTCAATTTGGAATATTTTTAATTCTTGGCATTGGCCAATAGGTTTTGTTGTTTGGCAGATAAGTTTAAACAAAAAACAGGACTTTTGTTTTAACAGCGCTGAAAACATGGTGCCTGAGTGCAGACGCAGAAAAAACATGGATGCACGTGAGTGAGCAACTTCAAACTATGCTACGCTATATTCAGTTGGCCACTATGTGGTCATATTATTATTGTCATATTTACTGTGTAGTAAATGTAAAATTGCCATTACCTGGTCTTTATCTGGTGTTGTTCGGTCATTTTAGACCGGAAATTTTTTTTCCCCAAAATTGTAAAAATCGCTACTTCATTGGAATGGTACGAAACTCTGTAACTTTTACGGCATTCACTATGTGACTAGAAAAAAAATCGTGGACTTGATTCGAAAAAGTTAAATGGTCTTAAAATGTGTTGTTCACGGTCAAAATTGACCACCATTGGAAATGAATGGGAAATACGCAAAAATATGAAAAATACAGAGATTTTTTTGTGTGTACAATCTACAAATCATGTATGATGCAGAAAAACAGGGCACAGCAATGAACGGGTGACACTCCAAAATAACAAGAGCGCAAAACAGACACACTTGACCCACCCCCCTCCCCCCACAGACACACATATATGAACTAGTGTGACTGCAATTCAAAACATGTTTCTGCAAATGTGTGAAATAAAATCAATAATTCAGCCACAATGCAGTAAAAACACAGACACCAAGGAAGGGGTTACACTCTAAAACAACAAGGAGTACAAAACACACTCAAACACACACTTACAGACACGCTATTATACTGTGTGGCTGTAACAATATGGCAATATTGAGCCAGAAGACTCAAATAAGAGGTTGAAATCAGACTGATTAATCTCTGATAAAGCATTCCTGTTCATTTGTGTTACATTCTTTTTTAACTTGGATGTTATATGTAATAAAAAAAAATTCTCTGTGTTCAGGTTTGACTGTAGTAAAATTAATGCATTTTACATATTGTGCATTAATTAATGTGCAATTAATGCACAATATGTAAATTATGTTGTGTAACTCCCTCTAGTGGGCATTTACCATTCAACATTGTTAAGTGAACACAACAACGGTGAACAAAGCAAGTGTGACTCCCAAATGAACAATGCCAGATGGTTAAGAAAAGAAGATTCCCAGTGCTCAAAGATTTTACACAGCAAGTTACTGGTACAGTACGTCCTGTTGGTTACAGTGTTTGCTTCCTTTTTTGTGAATTTTTTTTTAAAAGTTTGAAGAGGCCAAAATAAGAATACCACAAAGAATAAAGCATTTGCTATCTAAAGTATAAATCTTCTTTTCTAGGTGAAAGAATCATGCAGTTCGGAACAACAATAAGGTGAGTAAATGATGACAGAATTTTTATTTCAGAGTGAATTAAAACAGTTTTTTGCTCTGTCACGCTGGTTTTAGATACAAGAGTGGATTGTGTGTGAATTTATGTGGATTATAGATGTGTGTACCTGGATGTGGCTGGGATGTGGACCCTGGCAGCCTCACTCATGGCTTGGATCCACTCCTCCTGCTCCTTCTGGCTGTCTGCACTGAAGTAGTATGTACGAGTTCCTGTGTGCTCAACCTGCAAACAAAACGCAATACTGCCCTTTAAATCCTCACTTTCCTCTTCCTCCTCCTCCTCCTCTTCGTTGCTTTCGCACCACACCTGCAACAGAAAAAGAGACAAAGAGAGAATATTATTGGACTGTCCTATAGCCACTCCCATTGCGCAAGAACATAACTGTAAACCTGATACCACAAGGACAACAGAGCATGCAAAACAGATCCAGCAGAACTCATGCAAAATAGTCCATTCAATTGTTCATATGTACATGAGCAAGTAAATAAAAGCCCGCGAATGAAAGACCTGCTTAAAGGCATAAGCATAAATGCAGAATTATTAAAGTAATATTTTGCTTAAAGAAATAATTCACCCAAAAATGAAAATTCGCTTAAAATTTACTCAAGCTCAGGCCATCCAAGGTGTAGATGAGTTTGTTTTTTCATCAGAACAGAGTTAGAGAATTTTTGCAGATGAAGAAACAAACTAATTACATTTTGGATGGCCTGAGCTTGAGCAAATTTTCATTTTTGGATGAACTATTAATTTAAGGACTTTCAGAGAGCTAGACAGATGTTGGTAGGTGAAGTTGCAGTGCATGCAAACATAAATAGTCCATGCAATGACTTAATTTTCATGTGAAGTCAAATGTGTTGATATTTAATATGCAGTACAACACTGGAGAAATATGTGGCTCGGACATGCAGGTCAGACTCAAAATGATAGCAATTAAACGTTGAGCATTAGCTGACAGGTGACTTTCAAAAAGTAATTTAATCCAGTTTAATGATTGTATATAATGATTTTAGACTACAATATAGAAGTTTGAAGATACTTATGTACTTTTGTCAACATAATCATTACTGCCAGCTTGTTAGGAGCGTAAGCAGGTGAGTCTGATCTTGTCACTTGTCATGCAGTTGCAGTAGCAAAAAGAGGTGCTCTGAAATACCTACTAAATGTGGCTCTTCGACACATTGGAGAAAACTCACTCAGGGATCCTCAGAGACGGGGGGTATTGGGAACAGAGGAGAAAAGACTACATAAGGATGACTAGACCAAATATAAAGATCAACTTTAGGGGCAGGTTAGATGTGGTCAGGTTTATCATAATGGAGTGGACATGTGCATTAATATCCTGAAAGAATTGGCAGTTAGTAGAAATGTGGCTTTGTTGTGTTATTACATATACACAATATCAGCTGTTCAGCATACAGACAATGTAAAACCTTTGTGTGATCGTGCTACATTAAATAAGTAACACAACAGTTTACACACATGCACGCTGGTCAAAAACACTGCAGTACAGAACTTTACCTCATGGGGGCAATACAGAATAATTTAGAGTTAACTGTGGACTACATTCTGTAGTCAGTCAAGTAACAAACAGCAAACACAAAAAGGGAAATAATATATAGCAACAAACTTCAGATTCTACAAGCTAATTTCTCCTGTTTGGGACCTAATTTATGACTAGTGTCTGTAATTAAACTTTCCTATTAAGGGACAATAAAAACAATAATATAATAATAATTAATATAATATTTAGAAAATACATACAATAACAACTTTTACCTTTATAAGAGCTTTTTCTCCCCCTGTGCAAGTCAATTTATGTCCAATACAGGGACATTTTTGTCCATGCATTTTAAATATGGGGCCTTTTTGTTACCTTTGGTGGCATTTTTGGTCAATTTATGATGCAAAAAGCCCATTATACAACATCATATTTATTTATATCACCGAAATGACAGTTTGTGGAAACACACAGCAGGTTTTGAATGAAGAGTGTGTGTGACCACTGATGAAACGTGACACATCACTGGAAGCTACAATAATCTGACCATAACATTCAGTTGTAAATCAGGATTTCATCCAATGCCAATCCTCTGAATTAGTCTTGCATAAAACAAAGTGCACTTAGTCATCCGAGGGTGTGCCAAAATCAGTTTCATGCAATCTAATAGTTAACTACTCCACAAGACAGTTAGCTAACTGACACTTTAGACCATTAAGAAACAAACTGTATTTTTGAATAGACAAAACCTGATAAACAAGATTTGTTTTAAATACACAAGTTATAATCATTCTGTATTAATAAAAGTGTTCACATGTGAAATGTCTAGTAAGGAGAAAAACCCTGAGAGTTTCGTCATGCTGTCAAAACAACTTGAATTAAACCTGGACTAAAGTAATCAAGTAATTTATTTCCTGTTTATTCACTCAATAGGCTGCATGTTGTTTGCATGCTTAAAATGATCTTGAAACTGAGACAGTCATCTGTGTCACAGGAAGTAGAGTATCAAAACAAAAGTTTGCATTGCAGTGGTTGCTCAACTTACAGAAATCTGGCACAAAAACTAGCCATGCTATTGCAAGTAATTCGCTTACCTTTATACCTGCCAAAAGAATGCCTTGTTTCCTTTAATTGAACCTCTCCCTGAGGAAACCGTCAAACACTCACGCACTATTGACTCATTGCAGGGATTGGCAAATTCTGTGCTTACTGTTTGCATTTGATTTTACAGAGAAGTCATTGTTCTTGTGCAGATTATTACTAAATGACCATGAGCTGGGACTTGTTTGTTTAACTTTAATATAGCTGGTCTTCATTTAAACTCTCTTTATCGTGTGTCCAACCTTCTAGCACATCTTTATTTTAAGGAAATAAAGCGTAGGAGGAAGAGGTGTTTGGCAATTTGTAAGTATGTAAAAGATATCTGACACTGCTTTGTGAGGACGCATGACAAATGAACCATGTTAAGCTGAAGTGACATGATTATCTGGTACTGATTTGTCATGTTGTCGCTAATATAATGATTCAAAATGTAATATTATAACGTGAAGAGGTCACATGAAGTTCATGAGTTTCCTGGATGAGCAGTCAGTTTTAATATGGTGTTGCCATCAGGAAACATTATTATTGAGATATCTGAATGCTCAAGAATTTGGGAAAGAAGTATCATAAACCATAAACTTCAACTGCGTCCCAAAAAAAATTAAAAACTCCCTTTAAGGGATGGTTCACTCAAAAATGAAAACTGTTATTTATTCACCACATGCCATTCTGAATGACATTTTCTTGTCTGTGAAACACAATTTTTAAAACTTTTTTTGTTGTTGAAGGTGTTCAGTGTTGTTTTGGACCTCACTGACTTTCACTGTAAATAAAACACTTAAATATTAGTTAAATGTCTTATTGTTAAATGTTAAATTTATTATTAAATGTCTTCAAATAAAATAAAATTTAATTAAAATAAAAAAAATAACCTTCAATGCTTGTAAATCACTTCCTCAAAGGTGGGTTGAAATAGTCACCTGATTCCAAGTGCATGCTGGAGACATATTTATGGTCTATAGGAGACATTTGTGTTTGCAGTGGAGTCACATGTCAGACTGATCTATCTTTACAGACCTACTCTTAACTACTAGGTACCCTTCTATCCAAACAAGCACAAGTACCTCCTTCTCTTCTTTACAAATCAGAAAGAAGAACTGACTTTGTCACATAGTATGTCAGTGCAGGACTATATCTAGTCATACATTAATTATGGCCTAATTGAAAATGTCTGTCATCTTTAGTGTGTGCATCTTTAGTGTTCTCTTAGGAACGTGAGAGCTCAATATCATCCTTAGGAATATCACAGGCCCGGTCAGACCATAGACAAAACCAACACAAGATCACTTTTATTGTTGCTAGCCTGGGGATACAAGCCTACACATGTGATAACCGGAAAGCATGTATTAGAATCTCACACTGTGTAGGATCTCATATTATAATGACGCCCACTTTTTGTGCATTTGCTGATGCAAGTGATGGTAACACACCAGACTAGCAGATGATCTGATAAGACTGACATTCATTTCACCCTTTTATTGCACATAAAAGAAGGTCAAGCTACATAGTATTGTCGTAATCGGAGTGTGTTTTGTTTTCTCTCTCTGTGCCAAGAGCTCTCTGTCTACTATGGCACTGGCACAGAGGTGCGGCCCAGGACACATTAGCTGCAAAGATCTATTACATAGTGGTGGAAAAGAACCATGTTTACACTGTAGACATAATCGAATGTCCAAGAGGGCCAAATTATTGTTAATGTTGGATCATATATTTCAACAGGCCACAATAAAAGTCACTGTAGGTTATTTCCTTTGAGTATAATATCCACTGACATACTTTCCCATCTCAGCTATTCCAACTTGGCTTTTCACACCACAACACAATATGTTGCGACGTTTTAGAAGGGATTTCTGATGAGATTTCTTTACCATTTTCTTCTAGTAAATCCCTCAATGGCCTCTGAAATTCTCTCAAAGCAAAGCAAAGCAAAACAAAGCAAGACAAAACAAAAAACACAAAACAAAACACCAAATCAAACCAAACCCATACAAAACAAAACAAAATTTTGTTTTCTGATGGGATTTCTTTACCATTTTCTTCTGGTAAATCCCTCAGTGGCCTCTGAAATCCTCTCAAAACAAAATAAAGCAAAGCAAAGCAAAACAAAAAACCAAATCAAACCATACAAAACAAAACAATTTTTTTTATTTACCATTTTCTTCTGGTAAATTCCTCAACGGCCTCTGAATACAAAGAATACAAAGTTGTTGTTTTTTTTTCCCTTTTTTTGGTTCTTTTATCTGTTAGACAAAACTAGCATGTGGTATTTCAGTGCAAAACCCTTTGTCTTACTAACTAAAAACCCAGTATAGAGATTAACTTGTCAATAAGTGTACTGAAATCTGTAAGGATTTAAAGTACATGTCAGTGCTGGGCGGTATGATCAAAAATGTATATCATGGTATTTTTCAAAATTATACCGGTTTCACGGTACATGACGGTATGTTTTATTCATGCATGACCGGGTGTTAACCATATTTTCTACTGATTGAGAGAGGAAATACTGCAGTATATTGACTTAGAATGGCCTATTTTACTGTCATGATGAGTGAATATTGTCAAAAAAATACTACACTACATAGTGACTAAACACGACCACATTTAATACATGTTAACCAGGAGTCACTCTCATTTATAATCGCGGCATCGTCTGATAAAATCAACAAGCATCTACACTAAAGAGCGGCTATGCGGTTGTTTTGGCTATATTACTTGTAGGGATGCACCGATATGAAAATTTTGGCCGATACCGATAACCGATTATTCTTTATTTTTGAAAGCCGATAACCGATATGTTGGCCGATAAATCTATATCCAAATTGTTATATACTTTTTGAGAGCCTGATTACAAAAAAGGTCTCATCATTAAAAGCCACATCCCAAACACTTCAACATAAGCAGCCTAGTTTGAACGGTGTACATTTTAAAAATATTTTTACTCTCCCATTACCAAATTTAGTCATAAAAAAAGTCTTACAAATAAATAAAATAATGCATAAATAATGCAAACAAGTCACTGGACATCATTACACATGTAAAGAATCAAAATGAATGCGCCACAGATCAATAAAACAGAATAGCCTCTGCACGGACAATAATTAAATGATTTTAATTACTAAACCATATTGTTGATATAGCTAAGGTTTATTCAAAAAAGTCGCTAGGTTTGTCAGTATGAATATTCTATGGAAAAAAGCAGCTAAAAGGGTCTGAAAGTTGCTAAATCTAGTGCTAAAGTTGCGCTCGTGTGTGAGACGCGGGAGCTGGATATTTGTGGAGGTCAACATGGATATTGTGGATGAGTTCTTCTGTGTCATCACGTTCCATTAGTTCTACAGCTTCAGTTTCTGAACTTTCACGCTTAGTAACACATACAGCTGTTCCCTCACCACAGTGCAACAGTGAAAAGGGACCCCTTTCAAACAGTGTTGCGTTCCGAACGTTGTTTAAGCGACATATTACGGTATTTTAAAAATTCATATCATAACAAAAATAAACAACGGTATTTGGTATGAACCGGTATACCGCCCAGCACTAGTAAATGTCAGAATTTTTACACACTGACATTTTTATAATTATAAATAGCTTGTACTATGAAAAGAGCAATTCTTTATTAGTAAATTCCCCCCGTATTTCCCATATAATCCTCAATTTCAAACAAAACTATCACAACTTGAGATTCATCTGGGAGGAAAAGCTCAGAGTGAGCAGTTCACCTGTCTACACTCATTACATCTGATAGTAGTTGATCTGAGCGTGAGACACAGTGTGGGACATGTTACGCTGGACAGCAGGTACCAATGCCCAGAGCAGCTTGATGTTAAAAAAAAGAAGGAATGGAGCAATTCCCTGCCTTGCTTTTGGAGTGCCAGATGGAAGAGGAAGCAGACAGTCAAGCCTCAGCAGATATTGAAACGACAGACCTGCCTCCTTGCCTCTGTCATTCTGTCTGTCTCTCTCCATTTCTGAGCCTCTGACTGGTAGTTGTGTACTCTCAGTCATGCGAAGCTAGTAAACGGAATTCTCTTGTTTTTGATCCATGTTTGCTGGAGTCCAGGGGGCAGGGATGTGAGATATGCTTGTGTAGATAAAATAGCTTTCAGAAAAGCATGATACCAAATGGGCTTGTCAAAATACCAAAAATGTGCCAAAAATACCAAATAACAAAAATTATATTTATACACAAAATATATCTATAACTATTATTATAATTAAATGAATGAAAATTAAATTGAAAGGCTACATGCATGATTTATCAAATATATTTATAATATAAATATTTTATAAACATTCCTTCAAGTTCTTTATAATTTATATTATTATTATTGTTATAAATTTACTGCAAATTTTATTTAGAAGTACACAAGCCAAACACATTATTTATTTTTTTATATAAATATTTTATGCACATCACTTCAACTTTCTTTCTTATTTATTTATTTTAACTACAATGTAAATATTAAAGGACTACACATATAATTAAAAAAATACTATATATAATAACAGAATTATTAACTATTTTGTTTTTGATTCACATTATTATTATTTTTATATAAAAGCTCCTACACTCTTAAAAATAAAGGTGCTTCAAAAGGTTCTTCAAGCGATGCCATAGAATAACCATTTTTGGTTCCACAAAGAACCATTCAGTCAAAGGTTCTTTAAAGAACCATCTCTTTCATACCTTTTTATAATCTGATGAACCTTCTTTCGCCACAAAGAACCTTTTGGGAAACAGAAAGGTTCTTCAGATGTTAAGGTCCTTCATGGAACCATTTAGACAAAAAGGTTCTTCTATGGCATCGTGAAGCACCTTTATTTTTAAGAGTGTATGCCAGCTGTCCAACCTGCAACACAGCTAGGTGAAGGCAAACAGCTGGAAATACACACATGCAACATAGCAGGAAGGTTACAGCCATAGCTGTAATCTGATGCTCTCCAACATGTTGACAAAGCAGTTAACAGCATGAGCTCAAACAACAGCAAAAATATGGGGGAGAGCTGCAAAATGAATGATTGCAGCAACCTTTAATGACTAGGCGTCATACAGGGCTGGACGGCTTCTTGCCTGTGTGTTCTGTCTCCCACCATACTTCACAAACACACACGCACACACTCTCTGCTTGGTGTCTGTCTGTTCTGAATGCTCTGATATGTACTTCATACACAGCAAACAGACAGAGTCCACATGTCTGATAAGAGACATCTCAGCCCTGCACACTAGGACAAGGTAACCAGCCCAGGGCTGCTGTGAGGAACAAAGTGAATTTAGGACAGACAACAGCGACTGCAGAGACAGGTGAGAACAGGAGGTTTGATCCAAATTGCCATCAACAGCTCCTCCAGATTGGCTCCAGTTTTCATTGTCCGCCCTACCATAGGGAAATATGTCTATCATGAATCCATTACAAACTATATGAAGGCTGTCTGGCCATATCTGTGCCTCCCACATGCAGGTTCTGCTAGTGGTTCTGCCGCTGAGGACTTTTCCCTCTGGAAAGGATTTCTCAGCTGCAAGTCTGATGGTGTGAGTCGCAGACTCACCTCCTGATCTTTCATATTTCTGCCGTTCATCCCTCAGAGAAAACACGAAACTTAGGCTGAAAGTGTTCCAACCACACAGCAGTTACACAACCAGCACTATGGATTATGCACTACTTGCAGCTCAACATTCAAATACTCAGCTAGTGCTCGCTGTAGAAGTTGCAGCACGTTTCAGAAACCCTCCACCTTCCCCAGCTCCACCTGTACAGATCTGCTATAGGGTGATTTCATGCATGTTATATACGGGGGTTATATCACTTATGTTATACATTATGTGCAGCAGCAGTATTTCTTTCATGCTCACAGCGGCATTTCTGCATATATTTTGGCAGTAGCAAGTCTCACTACTTGCTCTGCCGCAGCAGCAGAGCAGCAGATCTATTCTGCCAAGACCAAACAAATTAACATGTACATGACCATTTTGTCCCTAAAGTGTATCTAAGTATCCACACACACACACAGGTATAAGACCTGAAGCAATGCAAAGCCAGACTCCACAACATGAAACCAAAGAATATCCCGCATCTGGAGGCCGAAAATCCAGTTTTGATCCTTGCACACTGGAGAAGTACTTCATAAAAGAATTGGCAACACTTCCAGGAGAAGAGTTTGAATAAAAAGGCCCAGGGCAAGATGCACTGCGTCAGATGTGTTTCGGGTTCTTTTGTGGAGGCAACACGATACATGTAACCGTTCACTGTCACAGAGCACGATGAAGAACGGCTGACTAAACACACCTTTCTTTCTCCTCACACACACAACAAACACGTCTCAGTATTTCCTGGTTAATTATTAACACCATGCTAGGTTATAAGTTCAGAACATGCAGCACACAGGCATTTTTTAGAGATACAGTGTGACATATATGATAGTGGCATGATTTTTACTACGGCAGCCATAAAAATGACACTGATCTGTGCTGACGTGGCTTCACACCGAAACTGCACCATAGGGGTCTGTGATCTGGAAAAGACACACTGCACACCTTTTGCCTTAGGGTGCAGATGCAAGAAGCTACTGGATACTTGTGACTGATAGTTTGCTTTGTTCTGTAAATATATCTCTGGAGTATAAAATAGTCTCTAT